AATGAAAAAAAAAAAAAAAAAAAAAAAAAAAAAAAAAATTGTAACTAGTAAAAATGGCAAAACAAAACTACAACTACATTACTAAAACTTTAACTAGAATTAAAATAAAAATGGAAGATATAAAAATAAAAGCAAATTTAAAATATTAATACCAATATAATAGTATCTCAGTTATACTGTACTAAAATAACAATGATCCAAACAAGGGTTATTATAGTTAACCAACATAAAACAACATCTTCATTACTTCATTACTTTAAATAAATAAATGTTTATTGAAATAAAATTAAAAATACGATATTTTTTATTTAACTTTTTCATCGACTTTTCTGATGCAACATTTCTCATTTTGATTTAGTTATACATGATGTACTTAAATAACTAAAACTAAAATTGAAATAAAAATCAACATTTTAAATGTAGTTCAAATTTTTTTGGCGGTTTTGTCATTTTTATTAATTATTAATTTATTTAAATTATTAAAATTATTAAAATGAATTTATTAAAATTATTTTTTTTAAATGTCAATTTTTTTAGTTTTTTTATTTTATTTTTTTAGTTTTAGTTATTTTAGTACATCAAGTTAAACTAAATTAAAATGTTGCTTTGGCAATTAACTAAAACAAAATAAGTTTATTTTTTGTTTTTATTTTATTTTATTTTACTTTCATTGCCAACAATGTTTATTGTAGTTGATTTAACTTTGTATTCATTTTTTTTATTTTATTTTATTGGTTTTAGTTTTAGTTAACCCTGATAACAGTATCTCAGTGATACTAAAACAGCAATAGTCTAAACACAAATTACTTACTTTCTTTATAACATGGCACAATATAATGTCATTAATCTAAACATCACTTTAATAAAATGTTCGTGCTGCTTTTCTGTCATATTTCTGTAGATTTTCCCAATCCGTCCTCATTCAGTTCACTGTCCAATTTGTTAATATAACATGAATGTGACACAGATGAGCGAATGAAGCGCTGAAGGTCTTCAGAAGTCTTCCTCAGCTTGTTCTGTACGTCTGGTTTGTTAACACACTGCTGCTTCTGCATCTTTCTGTTGAAAGGCATTTGAAGACATTTACATTGAACAAAGGAAAGTGGTCAAAGTGGTGCTTGAATACGCAGACAAGATCTTCACCTACATCTTCATCTTGGAAATGAGTCTGAAGTGGATCGCCTACGGTTTCAGGAAATACTTCACCAACTACTGGTGCTGGCTGGACTTTCTCATTGTGGCTGTAAGTGCATCAATTTATTTCCCCAGCATCTGATTGCAAAGTGCAGCGAATGAATAACCGCAGAAGTGCTTTATTATAAAACATTTAAAATCTCGGGAAGATTGAATGAGCTCGGGTTTACAGAGAGCAACTTTTGTATTGTATAATAATCAAATCAGCTGTAGTTCAGCTTTCCAGCACTTCATCAGTAACATTAAAAGATGATCATTTATAATTATTATCATGTTGTTTTGCTGTTGTTTGAGCTGCAGATTCAGTCCAGTGATACAGTGCTGTTTGTGTTGGCCCTTTATTTCAGTATGTGTAGGTATGTGTACATAAGTTTGTATTTGTGCACATATTTGCTTTGATTCTGATACAATAAGAACCTACACTGAAAAAAAAATTGCTGTAGGATTTACTTTAAAACAATTTTCACTTAGAAATTGCTAGTAAATTTCATAATCACAAAGAAAAGGCAACACACTGAATTAAACATGAAATTATGATGTAGAAAACTGAAATAGTTATTTCTTGTAAAAAATAAAAATAAAATACTCCGTAAACTTAGAAAAACATTATATATATAATAT